AAAGAAACAAAAAGAATGAAAGAAAGGTCCAGCTTGGTGCATCATGACGAGCAAAGGCATAAATAAGCTAGGATTCGGTGAGTCGTCAACGTGAACTCGAACGAATCACGACCCAAACGCCGCGGTTGGTTCATGCGTCAGCAACGGCAGCAGCGATGTGAACTCTACAGCTCGTGTGTGTGTAAAGTTGATTGTATGTCCCCATGCAGCAGAGTGGTCGAGAGTGAGCTGCCCCAGCCGGTCGCCCTGAGTCAGTTTGACCCTCTGTCTGACATTTTCGATCGGAAGCGGCGATCCGCCATTGACAGATTGACATGTCGTGCCAAATGAGGCGGTCTGCAAAGCGGCCCAGCGGGCTGCCCTTTCTTGTGGATAGCGAGCGTGGGCCAGGGCGACAAGGTGCGCAAAGGATCATTCATTGCCTGCGCGAATCGCCCAATTCACATTGTGAATGTCCTGTCAGAGGTGCATGCGCATGTGAGCTTATGCGATCAAGATCGAGCAGCAAGCAGCGGTAGGTAAGCCAGGTAAGCTTAAATTGAATCGAGCTAGGGGAAGCGCAGCTAATACGGGCACGTCTGACCTCCGTGGCAGGCACGAGTCCGGACGAGTCACAATCGTGAATTCTGAAGCGACACCCGTGACTCCGCGGGACCTGCATGCGCGACGTCGGCCGAGGATAATAACTCCGTGATACAGAGTATGAAGCGCATCCTTTTTTATTGCAACCGAGGATGGGCGTATACATATGCAGTGCATGCATGCAGCATACAGTCGTGGCGCGTTGCGACGCGTGTAGGTGCGTTGGGTGCGCGCATGCATCAATGCGGCACTCAGACTCTATCTGACTCACCAACGTGCACTCACACTAACTCACACTCCGTCACACTGCGGGCTGTTGTCACTCGAACACGACGGCTATACCTGCCACGCATTCGGTCAGCTGGTGTTGAGGCCTGATGATTGCGCTTGCATGGATGCGGATCGCGCGGTCGGTGCATGGTTTTGGGTTGGAGCTATGCCATGGCTGCGCGCGGCTACACAGCTGGCGTCATTGATGGCAGCAGCATGTACTGTACTGTACCATGGATGCGCAAGCTTGAACCATGGCTTCGGTCGATCAGGGATGCATGGGGCCTTAGATCCGGTGTGCATGCATGCGAGGCAGCATGGACGAGTTTCGCTTGCTCGGAGTTCAACAGACACACACACACACACATCTACTCACCGCTCGCGATCACGACTTGAGGGTTTGGTATATATTCAGCCACAATTCTGCTTCAAGATCCGTGCTTGTCAATCATGCATCATCCTTCCCCCCTCAAAAAGGCTTCTGCAGCACACAACCAGCTCAGCTCAGCTCTCGACTACAGATTTGAGTAGAGCACACCGTCTAGCCGTCAAAGGTTCGACTGCTTTCTCCAACTTACTGTGCAAGCCCAAGACTTTCGACACGAGGCTCTTTTGCAAGATGACTTCTCAATCATCGCAAGGCGATGCCTCTGCCGCTTCGGACAAACCTCGCATCGCAAGTTCAGATGATGGAGTAGGCTTCTGGCATCCGTCCATTCGTCCACTGGTCAAAGCCTACCTGATCGGTCTGATGCGCGTGACCATCATGATCAGCGTGGTGATCTGGACACTGGTAGCCTTGTACTGGGCAAGCTTGTATCGAGAAGTGGAATCCACACCCAACATCGACGCTGCCATCATCGATAGGGACGGAGGCTTGATCGGGTCCACCATCACTCAGCAGCTCTTGGCCATCAACGCATCGCCTGCTCCTAGACTCACATGGAGAAGCGTCTCACCTTCCGCCTATCCCACTTCGGCAGATGTGGAAAAAGCAGTGGCGATAGATTTCGATACTTGGCTCATCATCGAGATCGCTCAAGGTGCCACAACTCGACTGGAAGCTGCACGAGCAGCGGGAGATGCATCTTGGAATCCCAATTCCGTCGTCACCTTGACCTACGCAGAGGCTCGTAATCAAGTAGGCTTCGGTCTGATCATGACGCTCGCCCGATCTTCTCTTCAGCCCGTCTTGGCAAACATCAACACGCAGCTCGCTGCTCGATATCTGACGTCTTTGGGGGCAAATTCCGCAGCTGCAATCACTGCTCTTTCCAATGCGCCCTCTACCATTGCCAATCCGGTAGCGATGACGACGAACAATGTCAGACCTTACTCTCAACCAGTAGCGACAGCCGCAACTTTTGTCGGTCTCATCTATCTCTGCATCCTCGCCTTCAACGTCGTTATGGCCGGCTTCGGCATGCGAGCAGGCATGGGATTGAACAGGAAGTTGAATTTGCGTTCCCTCATCCTAGCCCGCATCTTGCTTCCCGCCATTTCCTACATCTTCCTCTCCCTCATGTTCTCCTTGCTCGAAATCGCCTTTGAACTCGATTTCAAAGCGATGGGCTACACTTATGGAGCTGGTTTCATGGTCTGGTTCTGCTTCACCTATACCGGTATGCTACTTCTCGGACTCATGACCGAGGCTTTCTTGTCCCTCGTCGGCGCTCCCTTCATAGGCTTCTGCCTGATCCTCATCATCATCGTCAACGTTGCCGTATCCAATCTTCCCATCGAGCTTCAAGTGAGTCTCTGTTCGATATCTGCCTCTATATTCTTCTTCTCCCCCCTCCTCAAAGCCCTCTCTCTCAAACACTCCGCTCACCGCTCTTGTCCGCGCTTGCTTTCCTTGCCCCTGCAGAACGAGTTTTTCAAGTACGGCTACGCGATGCCCTTCTACAACCTCAAGCAGAGCTACTTGACCATCGTGTTCAACGTTGGCAAACGTTCCGACCTCTTCAAATACGCCGGTATTCTCTGGGTCTGGATCATCGTCGTCATCTTCACCTTTCCAATCTGGATCTGGTTGGAGAGAAAGAGGGAGATCAAGGCTGCTAGTGCTCCTCCTCGTGGACCTCCTCCTTCTGCACAAAAACCAGTGACGGATGAAGAGGCTCAGAAGGACGAGCAGTAGAGCC